TTGCTAATTTTAACCACTACTAATATGCAAACTAAGACATTAGAAGGGACAAATACTTCTTCACAGCACTGCTGATAGCTAGCTTGCCAGATTTTATTGTTACAAAAGAACAAAAAAAAAAAAAATCAAAATAGCATAATCTACAAAAAAATCAAACAATATTAAAAGTACCATAGACCAATACTGAAGGCTTTAATATGTAAAGCAGTGCAAAAAATTTGAAATTGGATAATTAAGTTAATGTAAAGAAAAAAGATAAAAGACTGAGATCATGCAAAAGCAAATTGTAGCAAACAGTGGTGGAAATGACATAACAAATAACATGTGCACTGTACACTTAAGAAACAGCAGCAAGGAGGTTTGGAACAGAAATATGCATGTAATCATGTGTCCTGGTGTGTGTCGGATGTGTTCTCCGGTCACAAAAACAAGAGCTGTTGTACAATTTCATAAAGAATAACAGGAATATCCGTGTAGTCATCCAGGTCATGGGAATCCAAGGCGATTGGAAAGAAAGCGACTGGACTCCTTTAAAATTCTTGAAGATGTTAAATCTCTTGTCCGAGAAGATTCACTAGTTCTAATTTGCTCAATGTATGTCTTAGAACAGTGGGAATGACTTCCTGAAATGTTCTTTATGGCAGTGAGGTCGAATCAGTTTTGCAGCTTATCTGCAGATAAATCAGCATCAATAAACACAGCTAAGCATATATTCAGGCAACACATCAATGCAACCGCTAATTTGCTGCTCTCTTACAAAAAGTGGCTTGAAGTGGCTTATGTGCCTTACTGAATAATGGAACGTAATCTCCTGTCAATCATTCTTACAGTGGCCTTAAAACATCTAGTGCATGGTTCATGTACCCGAGCCCACCTGGACTTAACAACATTGTGTCAGTATCTAAATATGAATATAATGAGAAACAAAGTAGAAAACACCAAACACCTGTTTACTGGTTTTTATTGAGTTTTATATATTTTACCCCCAGCTGCCTCCAAAAAAAAGTTATTACTAGGCCCAAATAAACCAGTTTAAGTATAAAAGTATGAAAAATACACAATTCTAGTTAGATCTGTGCATAGTGGGATGCTAAGAGGTTGAAGGTGGATATGGTTTTCTGTACTTGCTCTGCATCCACACCCGGCGCATTACTACTTTCTTTCCTCGGTTCACTTGCAGTCGTCTATCCTCTAGATTCTGAATTTCTTCCAGTCCAGCTTTGGAAAACAAATCATGAACCTCCTCTGTAAAACATAAAACACAACAGTCAGGAACCAAAATTTTAGTCCAGGTTCTCTTTCTGCCAAGAAAGCCATGACAACAGAAAACACGGTTTTGTGTGCATTACCGTGAAGCTGTTTTTTTATACATTCGTTTTCTTTTTTACCAATTTTGAAATTGAGTTTTATCTGAGATAATGCATATATTTAACCATTCACCAATAAATGTAAATTCCATCTTTGTAAACACCACAAACTTGTATCATAGCACTGATCAGAATAGGGGTGTCAACACCCACACCCATACGTAGAAATACCTTTTGTGAAAAAATAAACACAGGTTCCATCTCCGCGTGTGTAGAAATTTTCTGATAGACATCGTCCTTGTTGTCAGAGACGAAATGACAAAGAATTTGTTTAAAAAGGAGAATCTCACGCTCAGACAAAGATGTATTAAGAATATATAAGAAATTAGGGTAAAATGATACAACGGGCATATCGGGAGGCTTACCTTTTTTAAAACGGAGTTGTGAGAAGTCGTATCTCCCATAATCACGGAAAAGGAGCACACCACCATGTTTCAGGTATGCAGACAGATGGTTCACAACGTCTTGCAAGCTGTCAATAAAATTTAGTTATTGGATAAATTATGTTATAATGCAGCAGGCTTGCAGCTAAAGTGATCCTTGCAGCCATCGGTAAAATATAGGCCAAGGAGAAATGCATTCACTGAGATACAACTGACTTCAGTCAGCAGTGCATTTGTATTAGCTTAACCCAAGTATATTACATGTGTTTCCCAAATTCATCTATACTTTTAGTGTCAAGCAAACCACAGAATATTCAATCTCTTGCAATTAACTGTATGGTTTATTATTTCCATTTCAAACTGGGGTTTATAATGGCATTCAAACAAAGGCTGGGCAATGGGATGGTTATGGAGGTTGTGGAGGGGGAGGGGCTGGCTGGCAGGTGATAAATGACATTAGGGTCTCCCATCTCTGTACTCTAAACCTCACCTACCGCTCTGGATGAATGGAAGAGAGCACAAATACTGCCAGAATAACATCCAGGCTCTGAGGAGGAAATGGGAAGGTGGCCATTTTGTCACAAATGTCATGGACGAAGGCGTGGCACACCGAGTCGTCATAGTCTGGGTGGTTCTACACAAGGAAAATAAGTTAGATTATATCTATTAAGCATGTCATTATCACATTGGTGTTGCAACTCATGTACAGTTCTGAGACATTTTCTCATGAACCCTCTTATCGCCTTGAAGCAGTCTGGTCATTCTTGTCTGAGAGCATCAAGAAGACATTTTCACCCAAATAACTGCCACTCAGTGGATGTTTTCTCCTTTTCAGACAACTCTCTGTAAACCCTAAAGATGATCCGTCCATTCATCCATCCTTCCTCTTGTCCAATTCAGGACTAGGATAGCCTGGAGCCTATCCTAGCTATTCTAAAGATGGTTGTGTGGGAAAATCCCAGTGGATCAGTTAACAAACAGTTAAATAGGTGTACATTACAAATTGGCTAGCGAGTGTATATGAATGCCATCTTTTTTACATTACTAACATTGTTTTCTATGTGTGAGATTTATTTAATGTGGAGATATGTAAAAAAAAAGAGCAGAACAAAAAAAAAACACCGGCACATGATGTCATATTTATCTATTCTGTGTATGTCTAGGTAGAAATGTATGATAAAGACATATTTTATTTATAGATAAAAATCAGCTGTTGAAATTAAATTATTTCCCAAAACATTTAAGGGACGGAAATATTTTGTAGATGACTAAATCATTATTATAATACAGTATACACTTTATATTTTCATACGAAACAGATGCTAACCTTAACCAGCTGAATGGCACGTGGCGAGAAGTCACAACAGTATAAAAATGAGTCTGTTTCTCTGTGGAAGAAAACAAACAGTTTAACAACTGGGAATCATCACATTACAACCAAAAGTACTTGTAAAACACTAACAAAGTGATTTTGTGGCTCAACACATATTTTTTACAAGTGTCTTAATTGTTTTTTCTAATGTAGGTGATAACACAACTACTTCACAGAGAAATCTCCACTGTGTTCTATATGTATGCTCTGCTCTCAGTCAACAACAGAGATGACAATAGAGACAATCAAATACTAAACATCTGTATGATCATTCATTAAAGAGAAACATTTTGACTTACTTGATGTTATTTACAATAGGAAACACACTGTTACCAACTCCACATCCAACCTGTGAACAGAAGAGAATGCAAAGCAGTTATTTAACATTATCTGTGTTGCAATAATATAACATGCACATCCTGTATAAAAAATTAAAACAAAAACAGTATATTAACACTTTTAAAAACCTCCAGGATCCTGAAGGATGCACGTTGTCCAGGAAAAGCAGAATCATCCACAGCAGCTTCATTCGTTCCTCGTGCAGCTTGTTGACAGGACTCCTGAAAGTTAAAGGTGTCTGTATTCCTGTGATGGTCAATGGGATTGCACCGTTGATGTTTTCCAGTTTCGGTGTCCAATCTGGATGCACTACATAGTTGAATGGCTGCTTGCTGATGACTGTGACACGTGTTTGTGCTCTGGCCTCTTTCACCTGAAGGCAGCAGCTCTGGGAATTCTAAAAACAGCCACCTGCGATCTTTGAAGAACTTGTCCTGGTGAATCTCATAAAACATGTCCCAGTACTGGCAAGCTGCTGTAACAAATTTACCTGCAAGGACAGAATTCAAGAACTTTTTCATCATTTTTGTTTCCATGTAATTCCCAAAAATCTAATTAAATGTGTTAAAATATTTTATTCTTGCCTTGTTCGTTTAAAGGAAGTCGTACAGTGGAATTTTCCTCCGCCTTCTGCCGTGCATTTTCCTTGTCCTCCTCTGTCCATTGCACATGATCCCTAACATGAAAAACATTACTAAAGCAACTCCTGAATGTTAATATATCAATTTAACTATAATGACTCACAATTTGTTATAATTAGCTTTAATGTCATGAAATCCTGTGACCTATATTTTAGATTGTATATTATTATATATTATAGTATATTATTAGTATACTGGTGGTGGTCAGAGGGCCCGGTGGCACCAGTGTCCGGCAGCCTCGCCTCTGTCATGCGCCCCAGGGCAGCTGTGGCTACAATGTTGTTTGCCATCACCAGTGTGTGAATGTGTGGATGAATGACTGAATGTAGTGTGAAGCGCTTTGGGGTCCTTAGGGACTAAGTAAAGCGCTATACAAATGCAGGCCATTTACCATTATATATAACACATATACAATATACAAGCTACATGGTGTCTTCTTATTATGTGGAATAATAAACGCAACTTTTACACATATTCATTAAAGTTGCATCACTTACCACATGTTGTGCTTGAAGATGTCATCAGGACTGGTCAGAATCCGTGAACCCAGTGGAGCTGAAGGTCTACTGTCACTGCTCTTTAACCTCATAGAGAATCTGATGAAAACTGCAGCCACTTTGGCTACAGAGAACCTCTTCACTTTATTCATTTACTCTGTAAAAGTGCACATAGGTTTAAATACATACAACAATCCCTGGTCAGTACATCGCTGCCTAAAAAGACTAGTGGAAGCAATATCTATGTCATGCAGGGGAGGGATACTAGCATCGAAGGACGCTGAAGATGGAGCTGACACAAAGGAAGACCACAAAGAAGACTGACAAATGTAGTGAAGGAGGAAATGCACAGGGTTGCTGTTACAGAAGAGAATACTAAGGATAGGGTGAGATGGAGACAAATGAGCCGCTGTGGTGACCCCTAAAGACACCATCCAAATGTCTATTTAATGTTAATACATACATGTAAATAAAATAACAGAATACGATAAACTCTTCTTTTGCCCTGAAAGCTGGGAAATGTCCTTAAAATAGAAAATGCATGCATTTTGGGGTTTTTTTTAAAAATCCCCAAAGCTAACGAAACTAAAATGAGCTCAAAGTCGTAGAATAGTAAAAGAAAACAAAAGTCAAGAATACATAAACATTTAAATACAATGCAACGAAATCCTTAAAAAAGAACCTAGTATAATACGTTAGCGTGACTCTTTAAAGTACATTTAAAGTACAAATTTAATACAGGAAAAACAAAACAGAAATAAAATAAATAAATGATTAAATACACATACACACAGAGAAATATGTTTAGCTAACACCGCTCAAATGCTTAAAAAAAGCTATATAGTTTGAATAATAATTCCTAAAATATAGAATCGGACTATTACTGCAAATAAAAACGGAAACTAAAGGATGCAGCTGATTTTTAAGTGTATCTCTGGTCAGGGTAGGTGCAGACGAATGGGTGCGCTACAGCGGGACAGCGAGTGCGCTATTGTGCCGTAGAAGAAGACGCGTGTGAAAACATGGAGAGGGATGGGGTGCTAATAGAGTTAGCGGCTAACTAACAACACAACCCCAGTCGACAGGCGAAAGCAATGCTCGCCAACTTAACCCTAACAATTATATTTAACCCTCCATGCAACCTCCGAGCAGTTCCTCTGGGTCATATAGCAAACAAAACTTTTGGACGAAGTTGGCGACATGTCGAGGTTCCTTAGCTCACGCTAACCTAAGCTAGCTGTTAACTTTTCATGTTAGTCATTGGACGTGTGAGGTCGCGACGGCGTTGAAAACATGAAGCCTAGAAAACAGCTGTAGCGTGCTGGACTACAAAACCATACGGTGCTTACCTCGCTCTGGGTGGGCTGGTGGTCACTTCAGTCAGTCGATCTAGTCATGCTGCTAGCAGCCCCCAGTAGGAAAAAGTACCACCTGCAGATGGCGCCACAGCAGAGAAAGGGGAGCGCTAACGCAGCTGAACTGCTGAGCCGGAGGAGCACAGGTCTTGGAAATACTGGGACTTTAATCAGACATAATTTGAAGATCCTGAGAGGTATTCTCCTTCAGGTAATGTTACAGTTTGTAGTGTTACTGCTTTCAGTTGCCTTTTTCCCATATTAATTATTGTTGCCATATTGTAGGAAAACCGGACTTTCACGAAAGTATGGAGCAAGACCTCAAAATCCACAGTAATGTACGAAAATTGCAAACTATACTTTGAAAACTACCAGCACTGCTACAGCTGGTGAGTATGGGGTCCTAACTTTAATTAGCTTCAGTTTTTAAACACGTATACATGCCAAAATATACACAGGACTATTTTGGTACGTTAAAGTAATCCTCCACTGGTCATATGCACTATTAAAAATGAGTTGTTAAAAATCTACCTATACAAAATATTTTTTTTAATATGAAGTGTTCATATTACACTGGCCTGTAATATAAATTTATTTGGCACCCACTTAAGAGATATAGCCAGAGCCAAATGAAAATCATCACCTCTTTAATCACTTATGTAATGGATATATAATGTTTTAAAGCTTTTACTTGAGTGTATTAAATATTATTGTCTGTAGTGAGAGTAGGGGTCAGGTGAAAGAGCCTGGAAAGGTTGAGGTATGCTCTGGAGAGAAGAGGAATGCAAATCAGAATACATGCGTGTGAATGAAAGGGAGATGGGTGTAACAGCGTAGCAAGTTGATGAGTTTAAAAAAAAAAAATGCGGAAAACCATTTAAAGCAGTGGAAGATATTGAATATTTTTTGTCTTATCTTATCTGGCAGGGAAAAGTATAGATGTCTGATGAATAATGTGAAAACAGGTGGGCCATGATATTTAATGTAAATGTGTACAATTAAAATAAAACCCATTGTGTCATTTTAACTTCGTCAGAAATTGTTGCTTTTGCGAAACAGTGATGTAGGATACAGAGGAGCAGATGATCTAAGGAGCTTTAATTGAAGTAGGAAAGTGTTGTGTATGCCCAATAACACTGACAAGCTGCTTATGTTTTATATTTTGTATATGTGTTTCAGTGTTCATGTTGAGCCTCAGATTTTGTACAAACTGCCAACGAGGTCCAAACAGGAGAAAATTGAAGATACGTTGATGTGTCACAGCCCAGTTGTAAGTAAACATTAATAAACTGGGTGTTGCTCAGATAGAAAATTTCAGACTGTTGTGTTACCTCTTTTTTTTTTTTTTTTTGTTCTCATCCAAAGGAAAAATCCTTATCTTCTCCATCTGATCATAAACCAAGCCTCTTGGCTTTGACGGCCAATAACTGGCTAATTCGCCTTTCAGCTGAAACAGGAGAAGAACTGCAGAGAGTTTACCTCTCTCCAAACTATAAGTTCAGGTATCTCTACGGTTCTGATTTCAGTGTCCTTTGAGTGGAAAGTATTTTTAGATTTGGTTCATTTTAAAGCCATTTTAGTTTTATAGCTTGTTGTTATCTTGTAGATATCTTGGCTGGGATGTTTCTCAAGAGACATTTTATGTTAAATCTGTTCAAAACAAGGAAACACCTTTAGCCAGACAGGTAAAGTGAATACATGTATTTAAAGTATTTGTGTCTTGTAAGAGAAAGTCAATAATACGTTAATGTTATATTTAAATTAAACATAGCTGTCACTAGCTATACGTGACTCTTGTTATCATTTCATTTTTTTTATATTCTTTATATTTAAGGATTATTCTTTTTTCATCTTGTGGTTGTTGGTTTCAAATCAGAAGGTTGTTGTTGTTATTATTACTATTATTATATTAGTAGTAGTAGTAATTTATTGTTTGTGCAACTAGAAAGTTTATTAATTATTTATTTTTCTGTAAGTCCTATAAAAATGAAGAGAGGAGATGGAGACGTGACCTTTTTTCTGATTTATCCCACAGGCAGGTATCACTCAGAATACAGTGATGCACATCGCTATTTTTCACGTTTTCCCATTGGAAGTTATTGGTGTTATGGAGATCAATAAAAAAGTAAGTTTTTTGTTTGTTTGCTTGTTTTTTAAATACAGTTTACATTTTTTCAAATGTACATTTTTTGGAGGTTTTTTCATTTAAAGGTTTTTTGTTTTGTTTTTCTTGTAGGTGTTTGGAAATGGTGTCATAGGTGCTGATCTGGTTCAAGGTGTCCTTGCACTGTATTACAGCAATAAGTCAGTGAAAATGTACAGCTTCGAGCACATTATCCAAAGAGTAAGTCTGTGTTTATTTAGACATTAGTGAATGCATCAGAATTTGCATCAGGGGCGATCGTGGCTCAAGAGTGGAGAGTTCGCCTTGTAATCGGAAGGTTGCTGATTCGAGCCCCGGCTTGGACAGTCTCGGTCGTTGTGTCCTTGGGCAAGACACTTCACCCTTTGCCTACTGCCTACGCTTTGGGGTCCTTTAGGACTAGTAAAACGCTTTACAAATACAGGCCATTTACCAATTTGATGTGATTTTTTTTTAATAGAAAGTGTTTTATTATCATTCTGCTTAGCTTGCTTCTTACGTCTTTGGGATGTAAGAACATGATGAACATTTTCTTTGTTTTCAGTACCTGACAGAGAAGCTAACACTTGGAAAGCAGAGTCCTCTTCTTGGTGGCAAAACAGTCGGAGATGCACCGTTTGGTATCCCGTTAAATATTCAAATCACAGGTTGGGTTTTTTTTTTTTTAAGAACCAGTGGTATATGTGCTTAAAGTTGAGTACATGCATAGCTTCAAATAACTAATAAAGCCATTTTTGTGAGGCAGCTAATACGAAGAAAGTTGTCTTAAATCGAGCTGTAAGGGACCTGAAATGACTTCTTCAAGGCTGTGAACTGTGAATCATGTAAAATATGGTGCTTGATATGAACATATTAAACATATTTGGTTCTGTTTATTAACATCCCTATTTGCCGCAGCAGCTTTCTTCTTCTGCTGCTGTTCCAGGGGTCACAGAGTGATAGCCACTCTAATCAAGAATGTTTTGCTTCACAAAGCGAGTATAATGTTTGTTTTTCCTTTCTCATTGCACAGATTGCCCTCCTGTACTTTTCAAGGTCTCTTGTGCTGAAAACAGTGTTCAGATTGGAGGAAACCCATGGCACTACATTTACACACCGCCTCGTAAAAAGGACGAGGGGACCTACCACATCTGCTCACTCAAGGACGGCACTATGGTATATTTAAAAATTCCTCATCAACTATAAATTTACCTCATTATTACCTTTTAGTTATGGTTGTACTTTGAGTAAAACATGACAGTAATAAGTCAGTTTGTGGTAGAATGAGCTGTTGCTAAATTTGTCAGACCCTGGTGAGTTGTCATTGTAAGAAGGGCTCCAAATGTTTTTGACAGTCTTCCTATTCAGTCAGTGGACAGAGCAGGAGCGAACTAAACCTGTAATCACCTCACAATACTGCCTTTGTGCTGATCTCTAAACTCTGCCTTCTCTCCCATTGAGAAGCCATGACATTGTATCAGATTATTTTCACATAATCTCTCCACTGAGTTGTTCATGTGGAAAATACCACACATACTTAAATAGAAAACAGGAGAATCAAAGGGGGGTATAACACTCTTTATACAGGGAGTGCAGAATTATTAGGCAAATGAGTATTTTGTCCACATCATCCTCTTCATGCATGTTGTCTTACTCCAAGCTGTATAGGCTCG